TATATATTTGATGTTTATCTCAATTTATTCAACTAACTGTTCAGTCAGACGAGTCCTTTCAGCTATTTTACAATTCTGTGGTTTGGACTCGAGTAGAAAGAAAATGTGGAAATGATTAAAAACTGAATTTTTACATGAACACCAAACAGTTTTTAGAAAAAAATAAAAAAAATAAATAAATAAAAATGAAGAAAGTAGTCAACAAATTAAAACAATAAACTGATTTATTTTAAACAACCAGGGATGCAAACATCTGTTCTCTTGTTGCAGTTCAGATAAAAACTCTTGAGATAAAATGTTTAAACCCAGAGCATCCAGGTTATGTTTAATGTGCAAGTTCAACGGTACAATTCATTATGAGGCACCGGAACGTCAGTAAACCATCACCTCCAACACGTTCTGAGGCCAGAATAAACTATTTAATCAAAATATGAACTAAAACTACGTTTAATGTGGATAAAAACAGTTTACACAGAGAATAATTCTGTGAACTCCATCAGTGCAGTGACGCAGAAAAGGTTGTTTTTTAAATTCAGAACAGACGTGTGCACGCATGTCACCTTGCTGGTAGGCAGGGCCGCTCCACTGTGGACGTCTCCGTGAAGGTCGAAGGTGGTTTCTGGTACGCTGCTGCGACAGACACACACAAACACACACACGCACGCACGGCAGGTTAGGCGAGGCGGACGTTACATTACCGATGACACGAGGTCAGAACCTCACCCAGCAGTGCACACACGGTTCACGGTCAGGGAGGAGAGAGAGACATCAGTAAATGAATGGTTCACTAATATACGCAGGCAGATCGTTTGCTTTACGCACACACACACACACACACACACAAGAGCTTACGTAACAGTTCAAATAGATAGACACCGTTTGCCAGGAGTCCGGACACAGCGCAGCGCTCTTCAGGTTTCCACAGCGGACGGCAGGACATCAGTAAACACAAGCAGAACACCAATATCCTCTAGAACCGAGGGACTTAAATATTTAAAGTTCAGAGTTTTGAGATGAGAGTTTTTATCCAGGCGGCACAAAATGATGGATCCTGGCGAGCAGAGGGAGCCATTTTATCTACCACCAGGGGCAGAGCCAGGGGGTGGCTAATGGTGGCCTTGGCAGTCGTAGATTATTCTTTGGCCACCCCGATCATTTGAAGAAACTGTACTTTTGAGTAGAGCTGCATGATATTATAGACATGGTATCAGCCGATATCAGCGATAAAGTTAAATATCAGACATAGGCCTTTCCATCAAAATAACTCACCGATATAAAAGGTGCCGTTATGTATATATATATATATATATATATATATATATATATATGTAGCGTTACATCATTTTCAGCCTCTTTTTGGCATCTGCATTTGGTAGCAGGACAAACTGACAAAGACCACGCAGAATAATGTAGGATTTTAATTCCACAGCAGAAAAAGCTGTGTAGTCTCTGTAAGTAGGTCTAAGGGAAAACATATCGGTATCGGCCGAAAATCCAATATCGTGCATCCCTACTTTTGAGCAATATAAAAACCATAAATCATAGTTTCCTCAAAATGATGGGGGCGGCCGGTTTACTCAAACCAGTTTTTGATAGTGACCTCTTTTACGCCTTGATGCAGCCGCACACCAAAACAGAAGCTGCTTATTTTCCAAGTTATCCGCGCAGAAGATGGAAAGATACATATGTTGTCATATGGACAACGGCCATTTAGGATTTTGACGTGACCACCCAGTTCGATAAGGGAATTTTGTTATGCCTACATGCAGCACCGCACCAAAATAGAAGCTAGTACCTCACTTATTGTTTATGCTCACAAGATAGATGAACGGACGGACGGACGGATGGATGGTATTTCCAGTTTCCCCTCTTTGCTCCATGACAGGGGACAACAAAGCATTTGCAAATGGTTGCTGACAGACACAATCACAACCAAAGCAGGTTACGCCCACGGGTCCTAAACTGTGGTAGAAACACACCTGCGGCTGCAGGTTCGAGTCCAGGTCGTGTCAGGAAGTAGATCAGGAGCAAACCAAATCATTTGTAACACTACGGTGACCCCTGAAGAAGGGAGGAGCCGAAAGAACGACATCTGGCACCTTATTTATTTTTTTAAACAACTAGGATATACTGCAGAATATAAAGTATTAAAAAACAGATATTCGTGTCTGCTGCAGCTACAAGCGACAATGTGTCATTTTTTAAATAAAACCAGCAGCCTCACTCCAAACGTCTGGTTTCTGTCGTGCTCTCCTCTTTCCGTTTAACGCTGAGCACTGATGACAGCCACGACGAAGTTAGGAGGCAGCGGATTAAAGGCCCAAACACTCTTTCACTACAAGATGATCGGTGGGGCTGCCAAAGCAGCTTGAAAACCTGCCGAACCGCGGCTGTAATCGGACCCAACATCCCGACGGGACTCCGCTCCGACTCAAGAAGGTATCTGTGCGAGTTTGGAGAGCAGCCCAGAAAACCACAGGGGTCCCGCGCTGCCACTTCAGACGCCCTCTGACGGACTTACAGCTGCTGTAAACGATGACTGCTGCTGATCTAAAACAAGACAACTGAGTTTTCAGAGGAGTGAACAGCTCCACGTCAGGACGAAACAAACAAACTAGAAATATAAAACGCTTTAGAAGCAGAAACAACAGTCGTCTTGAGTTCGTGGACGATCAGAGGAGGCACCGTAAAGGAAGTTCCACAAAGCTGAGCTTTCTTTGTGTCAGCTCGAGTATTAAAACCTAAACGTTCACTCAGAGTTAACGGTTCATCTTTCTACTTTACTCACATTTCACCTTCAGAATGTGTGCAAGGTTTTATTTTAAAAAAAAGAAGGTGTTTTACACTTTGTGATGCTTCTTTAACACAGAATAAAACCAAGCGCACGTAAAAATTTAGAATATATATATATAAAAACAACTCCAAGTGTTAACTTAAAAAAGTCTAAACCAGATTAAAATCCTTCACAGAGCTGAGAGAACCTGCAAGCAAGTTTCATTTAATCCCATACGAATGCCAACAAGAGTAATCCAGCACCTTAGATGATTTTGCAAAGAGCTGCAGCCAGACTATGTTGATTAAACGCAGTGCGTTAACAGTGATGTCATTTAAAGTTGCAAAATAAACAGATAAAAGGTCATCTTTGTTTATAATTAACATTTGCATCAGTAAGACGACAGATTTTGCTTCAACTCGTCAGATCAAAGTTTCCTGCTCCACAAAGGAAGTTTCCGTCAGGTTGACAGCTGCCAGGACTAAACATCATTTTAACAGTTTTCCACTCCCAAAGCCAAAGAAACGTCGGGCTGAACTCAGAAGACCAGAGCCCTGCAGGGTTTCATTTCTCCTCACTGATTACTTCTTCTCTGCTTGCGAGCGTTGATCAGAATCACCGGACGGGAGTTTTCAGCTGAAGCGTAAACTCAAACCCAACACTCAAAAAACAGAGCGACGATTTAAGTTGCGCACTCGTGCCAGTGGGAGATGCTCAAACATGAAAATTAGAAAAGACACAAACGGCTCTTCTGACTCCCTAACACACAACGAACGCAGACGCGGCTCTTTCGTTCAACGTTCACGCCCTGACTGAACATCTTTACTTATGATCTTCACTGAGTAACGCAAAGCAAGTTGTCAAAACAAGCTGTTGAGTTAAACTCTGATGTGTTGCTCGTCATCTTTAATCATCTGATGGAAGCACACACACACACACACGTGCTCGTTACTTACACACTTTAGCTCTTACTCCTGTTAGTCCTTCATGAAGTCGTCAGCGAGCTGTAAAACTGATATTTCTCATATTTAATCTCGTCGTAAGCTCTCCTCTCTTCATCTGCTCTTTCATTGTAAAAACTCCAGCGAGCGGGACGGGCCACGCCCAGCAGCATGCTGATCAGATTAGAGGGCAGCCTGTTGCTGTAACCCCAGACCTCTGCTCTTCCTCTTATTTGCTCATTCTCTCCATCCGTCCTAACCGAAACTTGCCTCCTCCTCCTCCCAGCTCATTTGTACTCCCCGCCTTCCTAACTTCATCTCCTCCACCCGCCACAAACAACAGCAGCGTGTATTTTACACTCCCACATGTTGCAGAAAACTCTACATACAGAAGATAAACTTCAAAAAGGGGTGAGGAAAAGACTGGAAGTCACTAGTTTTACTCACCCAGACTTGTGTCGGCTTCTCATCAGGGCGGCTGGTTCTCTCCCCCCTCCCTGGTCGTACATGGGGTCCACAAACTTAAAGACGTGCGCAGAACCGAACTGGAGGGTGGAGCCCGAGCGCAGCACCGTTGTCTCGGTGACGCGCTGTCCGTCAACAAAGGTGTCGGCGTCGGGGCCGTGCGGCGTCACGGTCACCATTCCTTCGCTGTGCATCAGGTTGCAGTGGTGGGGCAGGACCCCCGGGCCGAGCAGCTGCAGGTCCATGAAAACACAGTAACTTTAATCTGATGTGGCAGCTGCTTGCATAAATAAAACCACCTGGGAGGGAAGTCAATCGAAAAGGCATAAAAAAAAAACAAGGAAGCTGATTGGCTGAAACATCTGTCAATCATTTAGAAACAAAATGACGAAGAAAAAACCTTCGGTGTTAATTATTACTCACACGCCAGAAGAACATAAGAGACCAGAGAGAAAAATCTAATCAATATCTTCAACTGCGTGCACCACACACACACACCATAATGTCAGTCATTTCATAGAGACGTTATAAAACTAAAAAACTTTGAATGATAAAAACAATTAAAAAATTTTTTTAAAGATTCTTTTGTCAGATTTTTGTCTCGCAAACAGGAATTAAATGTGATAAAAAGAAGTTACAACACGTTCATGCTGTTTTACGTTCACACATAAAAATTAATAGAAAAAAAGTTTTACAATAAAAATAAATAAATAAATAAATAAATAAAAATAAAATAGTACAGTAGTCCCTCGTTTATCACGGGGGATCCGTATCCTGAAGCCCCGCTATAAGTGAAAAACCACGAAGTATGAATAGTAGTACAATTAGTAAGTAGTAGTTTACTGTAGTGTATATATATATCTATATGTATATATATATGTATATATATATATATA